TTGGCTTAGGACAAATAAAGGGCCTCTCCTTACACTGGATTTTGAAAACCCAGAAGAGCACACACACACACACACAACACACCAAACCAGCCGGAAGCTGAAGCCCTACCTCACACCACACACCATCACTGCTAGATGTATTCAAGGACAGTTTACAATGGGGAAAGCAGAGACAGTGGATAGGGCTTATATGGCAGTGATGGCTTGGTGATATCTGTTTAGGTCCCTCAGCCAAAGACCATGAGGAAGACCAGTAGTTGAGCAAATTTTGGTTTATTTGGGGGAGGTTACTCATTTTTAATAAAAATTTTAATTAAAAATTTTATTGATTGACTTAAGAGAGAGAGAGAAGAGGACAGAGAGACATAAAGAAGCACTGAAATAGTCCTTAAAATACAGAAATTCTACTGATGAAAAAATACAAATGGGACCGATGTTAGTGGCAGTTTATTGCCGAGAAATAGAATCAATTCCAATTAATGAAGAGAAATGAGCAAAGAAATAATAAAATTAAATAAAAACCCCAAACACGTGATTTGTCTTCCCGGTGTCCAATGATGCCGCGAGAAGCGGGTGAATTCTCTGAGTCCAGGGCAGGCGATGGGAAAAGCACCAGGAAGCCGCGAGTCACAGATGTGCACACTGGAAAAGCTTGCCCAGTCCTACCGGTTCCAGAGCACGCCGCCAGGAGGAGCGCAGAGGCTGGGCTGGGTCCTTGGGAAGGTTCTGGGCAGCAGCTCTCCAGTGGATCCCACACCAGCAGCACCTATGACGCTCCCTGCCCTGCGAACTGGCAGCAAGGTCAGGTTGGCCTGATGGTCTCAGCCCAGACCACCAACAGAACAGCCCAGCCCAGCCCGACGCCACACGCATGCGCAGTGGCCATGAAGTGGGCAGAGCCAGGCCACCTCCCTAAGGTGGATGCAGACGCTGGCGCAGGCGTGGGTGCGTGAGCAGGCTGAGGGGCGCAGGCTGAGGGGCGCAGACTTTCCTGGGGCGCAGCGTGGGCTCTCTGGCCTTGCTGCCCGCGCAGTCGCTGCAGCCTGCGGTCTTTGGCCCTGTTGTTCTTGAGCCACACCTGGAGAGAGAGGGGACAGGGAGCAAGTGTAAGAGGGGAGAAGCTGGGCCCATCCGCCTGCGCCCAGGGCTGAGGAGGCTCCGGGAAGAAGGGCCGGCCTCACCCTCTCCCTCCACCCCCAGACCCAACTATTGGCCCGGGGTTGGGGTGGGCCCCGGAGAGGGCATGGTTTGGACGGTGGGCAGGGGGCAGTGGGAGCGAGTGAGGTGATTGCCGGGGTTGGGGTGGGCCTGTGGGCCGTACCTGCACTTGGTCCTCCTGCAGGATCAGCCTGGCTGCCAGGGTCTCGCGTTCCTCATAGGTCCCGTAGGGTTTCCCCTCAAAGAATTCCTCCAGGACCCGCAGCTGCTGTGCGCTGAACACCGTGCGCCGCCGCGCCCTCTTCCTCTGTGAGCTTGGGGACAGCCGCGAGCCTGTCCGAGAGGAAAAGGGGGGCAGAGGAACTCCAAGGACGGTCCGCAGATCACCAGGCCTTGGCCACAACACACCCTTGTGAGCAGGTGGCAGCCCTGGGCCAGAAGGCAGGGCGACCCTGCTGGCGCCTGGGAGCGTGGCATGTGGCGCAGAGGCCCTGACCCGGGACCTGCCCGCCTTGGCTACCGGGCCTCTGTAGGCCTGGGCGTCCACATCTCCGAAACGGGCCCGGGAACAGCGCCTGCGTGCTTCTTATGGGGCCCACAGCCAGGCACGGCGCGGCCTCAAACTCACCCAGGCTGGTGCCCTGGTTGGGCTTCCCCTCCCCCTGCCCTCACCCGACGGTGTCAATCCGTCCTCCAAACCCATCGAGCCTCCCAGAGAAGCTGGCCCTCGTCTGGATTCCCAGGAGCCTCCAACCCCAGCCCCAGGATCCCACCTACTGTCCCCAAGCCCTCACGGTGGGCCCAGACTCACCGGTGGGAAACCCGGGTTCTTGCATCCTGGATGCTGCTGGGCCCTCCTTGCTTGAGGATCTTGCCCTCATGCCTGGGTATCTTGCCTTTAATACCTGGTAGGCATGCACCACCCACTGCTCCCATCCTAAGGGTTCTGCCAGGGACTCTTCCTCACCCTGCGCTCAGGTATGAAGTCTTAGGGTGTGGGTTTGAGGGTGGAGGCAAAATCATTGCTTGGTCTTTTGCTTGAGTCGCTACTGCACTGGATGCTTCTCCTGGGTGCTGGAAGGCCTCAGTGGCCTCACCGCTTTGGTGCTGTGGTTAAGGGAACCCAGTATTATGTTCTGGCAAAGGAGTCTCTCTAATCGCCAGCCATTGCCCGGGGATCATCTTATGCCTTCCTGGCCCTGGGAACCACACCTCCTCCACCATCCCCCTGACGTTACCGGCATCTTGAGCGCCCAACTCCCACTTTTCCAGTCAATTCTCCAAGCTGCCCCTAGGGTCCTGGAGTTTGAAGACTTCAGAGGGGCTTGCCCTGTCCGTGGTTTTGGTTCGGGGCTGGTGTCCCTATGTAATGAAGGGGAGATGGGTTGAAGGTGGACAGTTAGCCGATTTCTCTTGGGCATAAATGACCTGGGTCTCATCTAGGTGTCCCTGGTCACTGAGTCCAGTCCCTCTGACCTCCAAGG